TGTGAATTCCCTTATGTATTGTTGTCTATTCTCTAATTTTTCCTATAAATTGCCTAATTTTTGTTATTAATTCCCCTATGTATTGTTGTCAATTCCCTAATGTTTCTTATAAATTACCTAATTTTTGTTGTTAATTCCTTTTTGTGTCCTGTAAATCACCTAATTTTTGTTGTTGATTCCTTCTTTTTTCTTATATAGCCTAATTTTTAATATTCTTGTGTTTCTCATAAATCGCCTAATGTTCATTGCATATCCTCTTATTTTAGTTGTTCATGCAAACCTTGACATATCTACATTTTTTTCTTCACAAAACCTTAAATAGGGTTGTGAATTCTCTTATATTTTTTGTAAATAATCTAATTTGTATTGTAATTCGCGTTACTTCACTTGTTCATTTACTTCTGGATAGTTACATTTGTTTTGTTACATATATTTTTCTTTGCATTATACAATTAAATGGATTCAAAGGTCTAGCAGCCATAATCTTTTTGGCATGCCAACTGCTAAGGGATCATAAATTCAAACCCCTTTGGCCACCTTACTTGGAAAAGAAATCTCTGGTGGCCACCAATTGGCTCTCTAACAATGGTTGATCTTTTTTTCCCAAAAACAAAAATAATGCAAGGATTTCATTGTCTTTTCACTTGTAAAATTTAATTTTATTTTGGTGTAAGGGATGCACTAAAATTTTAGAATTTTTTGCGGGGCTATTGAAAATTAAGCGTCTTTGGTGAGTGCTAACTGAAGTTCTCCCTCTTAATTAATCAAAAGCATACAACCAAAATAATTCCTGCTCTATTTATAGAGGCCTAAGTAGCCTCCGCTAGAGGGGAAAAAAAAAGACTTTCAGTGGCGACGTTAAGAGTCACCACTGAAAATCTTACTTTTAGCAACGACCATAAATATTACTGCAGAAAGTATATCTTCAACGATGACTTTTTAAAGTCACCACTGAAGGTTAATTTTTAAAAGTGAGACTTTCAACGATGACATTAAAATAATATCGTTAGACAATAATTTTGTTAATTAATATGATTTGTTGTGACAAAATAAAGTATTTTTACATGTTGTTGTATTAGAGACAAAGAAGAGAGGGTTAGAGAGATAATGGGTCCGTTTGGATTAACGGTAGAAAAAGTAACTTATTTTTAATCTGATTTTTAGAAAAATAAGGTTGGATAAAAGTTAGATTGAAAAATATAATTTGTGTTTGGATTGATTTTTATAAAAGTTCATTTGTAAAGTAAAAAAATTATTTGGATTATGATTGCATAAGTAAGTTTAGTTTGTAAAATGACCAAAATAGGTATGACTTTTATTAAATAATGAACAATGATTAAAAATATGAATTTACAATATATAATAATTTTAAATTATTATAATAGGAAAAATTTATATTTAATGAATAAGTTATATTTAAATTAGAAATCATAGTAATGTGAAAATTTTTGAACCAAATACTATTACATAATTAGTGGATGATATACTGTATATAATTTATATAAATATAAAATTAAAATAATATTAAAAATTAAAAATATTATAACAACTGTTAAAACTCATTTTCACTTAACAGAATATTAAAAATAAATAACTATAGACTGATTGAGAAACATAAAGAATATACAAAGAGAAGCATTAGAACAATATAAATATAAGAATAAAAATATCTTTTAATCCCAATAGCTACTTTTGTATAAGTTATAAATAAGTTTTATGTGTTTTTGCAATCGTGCTTGGAAAAGTAACTTTTGACCCATAATTCAGATTGACTAAAAGTTGTGACAAATAACTCTCAAATTTACAAGCTGACTTATCATGCCCATAAGCTACTTTTTCATCCCCTAGATGCTTCAACAAACAGGCTGAATATGGTGTGTGTGAGAGTAAGAGAGAGAGAAGGAGGAAGGAATGAGTATATGTATAAAAATAAGATACTATAATTATGTGTGTGAGAGAATTAAATAATCATGATTAAATTTTATTATTTTTTATATACTATTTTCATATTTCATAAGTACAAATATAAATATTAAAATAAAAAATATCATAGTTTAAATAATTAAAAATAAAAATATGTAACAAATAATATTGTACGAATTATATTTTTCATACAAAATGGATATTATAAATAAAAATTTGAATCAAATAAGAAAATTAAATATAAATATTTAATAATATTTTTTTATCAATATTTAATATAATAGCTTTTAGTGGCAATTTTTTGTCACTGCTGAAGGACACTTTCAGCACCGATATTTTTTGTCACCACTAAAGGGTTGTTTTAGCGGTGACAAAAAGTTGCCATTGAAAGTCTATTTTAAAATTTTATTACTATTATATATATATACATATATTATTTTACAGCAATTATCATCAAATTCATTCCAGCTTAATGACAAGAAAAAAGGACACAGAAGGAGGAGGTCCGAAGTTTAAACCATGGAATGGCTGTATTTATGGTGATAATATCTAGTTATCAACGTGGCATGTCGAGGTGCGGACATGTGGCATAGGCAAGGTGGCGAGTAATGTGGTGCAGGTCAGCACTGGCTAATGGTCAGCCAGTGATGATGTGGTGGCGGTCGACGGTGGTCTTATTTACTCCGGTGACACTTTCAGCAGCGACTCAGTGATTATATATATATATATATATATATATTAAAGGCAATATATATAATTATCTGTACTTTATTATATATATTAAAGGATTCATATAATCCTTTAATATAATTATCCGTACTTTATTATAATCCATGAGCATTGGAAATTTTGCAATAATATTTGTTTTCATTTAATTATGTTAAATGATTAAAATTTAAGCATGATTTATCATCATTTAACCATTGAGCTATCATTTAATTTTGTCGAGTCAGCAATTTCTGCAAAATATGACTAATAATTTTAAGATTAAGAGAATGAAAATATATGTTTTATAAGTTTAATGGTTTAAATTGAAACCTACTGTAAGATTCGAAGACGAGACATATACTTTAAAAAAGGTTAATGTGAACAAGTTCAGCTTAAATAGAGAACACCATGCATCACCTGCTGGACATGGCTCCCTTAAGTGCAAGTAGTCATTAATGTTTGTAATATATCGATAATAAATTTGAATTGAAAGGAAGACCTAACATTAGCTGTTTTCTTTTATTGCTATTCAGGGAAGGGGGAAGAAAGTAGCCGCAGTACCAAAAGCAAAAGGAAAAATGAAGAAATGTCATGAAATCATTTAATTGTTACTCCCTCTGATTTAAAATATAAGCTTCAAATCTTTGAGGTGTTTGATTTGTTTTATAAGTTTCAGTTTGAATTTGTATGATCTTTTAATGAATTTTCTTCTATTCTTATTCCTAATTAATTATATAATATCTAATTGGTAACGTGGCATGCCTAGGTGTGGACACGTGGCATAGGCAAGGTGGCAAGTGACTTGGTGTTGGTCGATGCTGGCCGATGGCCAACCGATGATGATGTGGTGGCGGTCGATGGTGGTCCTATTTTCTCCAATTACACTTTCAGTGGCAACTTTTATAGTGCTATTCCTAAATATAGATGGGTTAAGGTGTAATTTTAATAACAAAATTTTGCGCCAAGAGCATCTGGCACCATTTAGTTTTGGAAGGATGCAAATATAAACACAGATGTTAAAAAGTATAGCCTTTTCATTACTCCCCCTAAAATGGCCAACATTGACCACTATGAAGGAGGGGGGAGAAAAATGTAGGACCTAAATTGGTGATGTGGAGAGTGAATGGTGACGCGACGGAAAGTTGAAGTTGATGTGGTGTAAATACATTTGAATATGTGGAATTAAATCATTTTGAATCACAAGCGTAAAAAAATCAGTGTTAAACAAAGGAAACATAATGGAGACTTAATAGACGAAGCTAGCGAGAGAACGAACAGAAATCGAGAAAGTGAGTGAGATTCTTCTAGGGTTTTGCAACGGGGAAAGTGATAAAGCCAGAGAGAAGGGAAGCAATTGTGTGGTCCATATGAGCGCATGTGATGGGAGACTCTCTTAAGGTTATAGAGATGGTATATTTTTTAACGTTGATATTTACATTTGCACCCTTCAAAATTAAATGGTTTTAGTTAGACACTCTTAGCCTAAAACTTTGTCATTAAAATTGCATCTTAAGATATTATAGAAACAAAGAAACTGTACTAAATAAAAAAAAATATCATAAATCTAAACATAATCCATGATCCCAATATACATCATAATTGTATAAGCTTCTTCACTGGCTCCGTGGAAACCGCCAAATCAGTCCGACAATTTTCTGTCTCTCACGAACACACACGCACATTACACACAACAACTCTCATAAAATAAGAAAAGGTTGGCTGGTGAGTATTGAAACTTCCATTTAAATATGGGAATGGGGACAAGCGGGTTTCGGGTTTAGCTGGCGACCATTGACTGACTTAGAACGAGTGTGGCCGCAATAGCAATACATTTGAAAATGTGAGGGAACTTTTTAGTTTTTAAATGCGTTCTTTTTTGCTGTGGCGCACTAATAATTTAAAGGTTAAAGTATATTTTTGGTCCTTTAACTTTACATAAGGTTTCATTTTGGCCCTTTAACTTTAAAAAGTAAACTTTTAGTCTTCAAATCCTAGAACCGTTAAACAAAATAATGGTATTGAGCTCTTGAATGTTAACAAAACATTAATAAATGCTATAATATTAGGTTTAATTTTCAAAACAATTATGATTGTTATAAAAAAAATTATCATTTAAGACTAATAATTTTAAGGTTAAAGGACTAAAAGTATACTTTTTAAAATTAAGGAACCCAACCGAAACCTTATATAAAGTTAAAAGATCAAATGTATACTTTAGCCTAAGTTAAAACTAACCAAAAGACGACCAAGGGTATGAGGTAAGAATTGAGGGTAAGGTATTCTCTTTTATTAATATGAGTAGCGGGAGCATCATCTAAAATAATAGAGAAATGCCAAGTTAAGGTCACAGAGTTCAATCGGGGATTAATATGGCAGATACCGTTACTGCTGGTGCCTGTGCTTCTCCTGCTTCTGATTCTTTTACTTCTACTCATCCAACTCAGCCGACACGTTATCACGTTTTCCTGAGTTTTAGAGGGCCAGATAGTCGCAAAACTTTTACTGATCATTTATATGCTGCACTAGTACGGAAAGGGATTGTAACTTTTAGAGATGATGAAGATATTAAGAAAGGACAACCTGTTGAAGAGACACTCCGTGAAGCTATTCAGCAGTCTCTGTATTTCATTGTCGTCCTCTCTCAGCGATTTGCTTCTTCCCGGTGGTGTTTGAATGAGTTGCTGCAGATCCTCCAGGAAGCCAAGCAAAAGGAGAAAAGAGTCTTGCCGGTTTTTTATGATGTTGAACCGGGTAACATTGGACTAGCTTTGGCTAAACTTGAAGGAAAATATTCAAATAAGACAATAGAAAGATGGGAGCGAGCTTTGTCTGAGGTTGCCAAATTCGCTGGTTGGCCCGCTAAAAATAGGTAAGATTTTAATCGCTACGTACCAATCGTTTTATCTTTCAGGCTATGTTTCATCTAGACACAATATTTAAGACTATTTTTCAAATTATATGATGAGCTTCTTAATTATAAAAATCGAATGGAAGTCTAATTTTTGCTTTAATATGAGGCAAACTCAATGGAGCCAGTTATAGTAATCCTGCTACTATATTGTGGGAAAAAAAATGCTATATATGCTCCATTGAATGAAATTTTTGAATTAAATCATGCTATTTTGAAATCTAATGGTATTTTTTATAGCTGTCATTTAGACATGCTTTGTTTGCCCTGCTTATTTTCTTTTTTGAACATATTTGGCATGGTCAGATGTTTTTGCTAGTGTTAACCCGAATTTGGATGATGAAGTAGGATTTGGAGCATTTCAAAAACTTATACTTTTTCTTTTTTGAAGTGGAATTTTGTGTAAGTTTTGAAATAGAAATAACATTACCATGTAATTTCAACTATATATAATTTTGGTATTATATATATATGAGAGGTATGCAAATAGTTATTTATTGAATGTCATATCATATTGGGATAGAAGCTTAACTTGATTGAAAATTATATCTTTGGTTAAATGTTGTTATAAATGTTTGAAGAAAAAATTTGTTTAATGATTTTAAAATTATAAATTTAAATTATTTATATAATTCTTAAACTTATATCATTTATACTATATCATAAAGAAAAATTTATGTTTGAAATATATTTATAGCAATTTAAAAGAAATCTAAGTAAATAAGTTTCAATAAATATGATGAAAAATTAAAATTGTAAAATTTCACAATATAGGGGTGATTAAGTAAGTTTAAATATATGTTTCAATTTTATTAGAATAAAAACTTAAATAATTTAGTTCACGTAAGGTTTTTTCTTTGGGTCATTGACGAATTACTTCAATGATAACACCATCCGTTCTGCTTTCGCGAGGTCCAGCCTCAAGCCTGGCATTAGCGGAGCTAACATTTTGGTTTTGTACCCCTTTAATTCCAAGAAAAAGAAAAGTTTGGAAAAATAGAACCTTGAACTCTCAATATTTTCAATTATTGATTAATTTTTTATATTTTAACTCCAAAATAATTCAATGTTTTTTAGACTTATTAAAACAAATTGTTGTCGTAGTTTTTAAACAAATTATTTTACTTCAAATTCATCTGAGATTACCATGCAGTTCTTAATTTTAAGGGGGACTAATTTATTTTGAGTCAAATTATCAGAATTGAATAAAAATTAAAAAAAAAGGACAATTATTTTTCGATAAAGTTTGCGAGATTGTATAATTTTGGCTGTTTATTGCGTGCCTCATTTTCCGTTATTTTTGTGTTGCAATTTCTGTTTAACTTATCAGAATATTAATAATTTGATCTTCACAGACATGAAGCAAAACTAGTTGAAGAAATTGCCACAGAAATATGGAACAAATTATGTGTTGAACTGCCATCTAATTTCGAATATTTAGTTGGAGACATGAAATCAAAAGCGGAACGGATAATCTCCCTTCTAGGGATAGGACTGGATCATAAATGTATCATAGGAATATGGGGAATGGGTGGCGCAGGCAAAACCACTCTGGGTCGTTTTGTTTATAATACTGCCAATAAGAAAGGGAACTTTGAAGCTAGTTGTTTTCTTGCCGATATAAGGGAGGATTCAAAAAAGTTTGGCTTAGTTCACTTACAAAAGAAGCTCCTTTCTAATCTTCTACAAATGAAAGAACTAGATATAAAGGATTCCTTTCATGGAGCAGAGGTAATAAGAACATTTTTACGCCGTAAGAAAGTTCTTATTGTTTTGGATGATGTGAGCCATAGAAAACAGCTAGAGTATTTGGCTAGAAACAAGGAGTGGTTTGCTGAGGGAAGCAAAATAATAATAACTACAAGAGATAAACACTTGCTAACACAATATGAACATTCTTATGAGTTCAGAGTTGGCATGTTACCTGATGATGAATCCCTTAAGCTCTTAAACCAGAATGCATTCAAGAAGGATCAGCCAGAGAGTTTTACAAAATTATCAGAAGAAGTAGTTGGATATGCTGGTGGACATCCTATGGCACTTGAAGTCTTGGGATCATTTCTTTGTACAAGACAAGAACATGAATGGAGACGCACAATAGATACGTTAACGCAATATTTACGCAGAGAAATTTTAAGCCAACTTCGCGTTAGTTATGATGAGCTGGAAGAAGAGTACAAGACAATATTTTTGGATATTGCTTGTTTCTTTAACAAGGAGGCCAAATATAAGGTGGCAAATATGCTGAAAATATGCGGTCTAGATGAAATAGTTGGAATCAAAGTTCTTGCTGAGAAATCATTACTAAGTTCCCCCCAATCAAATCTGAAATTGTTGCAAAATGCAAGAGAATGTCAGAACATGCATGATAGTCTTGAAAAGACGAGAGGGAATTACACTGGAATGGAGGCACTTCCGCGGGAGGCGTTGGAAGAAGAGGCTTCAAAAGAATACCTGAATATGCATTATTTGCTTCAAGAGATGGGAAGGATCATTGTCTTCCAAGAATCTCCAATTAATGCCGGTGGACGCAGCAGATTGTGGTCATGGGAGGATATCAATCTTGTATTGAAGGAAAATAAGGTGATTTTTCTTCTCCTTTTTGAGTTTGCTAAAGTTATTTCATAGGAAAAATGATAGATAAAGCCCCCTGAAATTATGATATCCTAATTTAGGAACCTAGCACCTCAAAATAACAAAGAAGGAAGTAACCCAAATGAAATTTTGAAATTTAAGAAAGATTACAAAAATGCCTCATTATTATTTTTTTTAAAACTTTTGGAACCCCTTACCAAAACCCTCGCCAGCAGCTAGCTATAGCCGCCTGCTGGCATAGGAGCTCCGGCACTGGCCACCGACGAGGTAGTTACTAGTGGGAGTTTGTTTTTGGCTAAGGAAATTTTTTTTCAAAAGAGTAGGAAAGGGGTTTTTGGGGCGATCAAATCCCCCCAACCAAGTGGTTGCCAAAAAAGTAAGTAACCATTGAGCCAAGAAGCTTTATTAACATTATTATACCCAAAAAAAAAAAAGTTAACCTTTTTACTTTAACTCTAGCTCATGGCAATAATTTATTTGAGTATAACAAGTTTTAATTATAAAATAACAAGTCTAGAGTTTGGATTAATAATATATTTTTCCAGACCTATAACGTGAATCGATTAACAAAAACCCTACTCGCAGCCACCTCACTAGTGGCTCTGGCACCGGCAAGCGGCTAGCCAGCTACTTGCGAGGGTTCCGTTTAGGGGTTCCAAAACTTTTTTAAAAAAATAATAATGAGGCATTTTTGTAATCTTTCTTGAATTTCACAATTCTAATTTGGGTTTACTTCCTTCTACGTCATTTTGAGGTATTAGGTTCCTGAAGCTCTAGTGCTAGCAAGCGGCTAGCTAGATGCCGAGGAGGGTTTCGGTGAGAGGTTCCAAACTTTTTTAAAAAAATAATAATGAGGGATTTGTGTAGTTTTTCTTGAATTTCACAATTCTGAATTTGGGTTTACTTCCTTCTTTGTCATTTTGAGTGTTAGGTTTCTGAAGCTCTGGTGTTGGCAGGCGGCTAGCCAACTGCTGGCGAGGGTTCTGGTGAGGGGTTCCAAACTTTTTTAAGAAAATAATAATGAGGCATTTTTTTAATTTTTGTTAAATTTTAAAATTCTAATCTGGGTTTACTTTTTTCTCCATCATTTTGAGGTGTTAGATTCCTAAATTGGGATATCATAATTTCAGGCTTCTTTATCTATCATTTTCTCTATTTTATACTCCTGAAATCCTTAATTTAGAACCTAATTGTTGAGTTGATTTTAGTCATAAATATAAGACTTACTTCTCATATTTATCAATTTTTTCTAAATTATTTATATTAATACTCCCTCAACCATAATCAAGTAGGAGGAAAAGAGGATATTAAGGAAGATAATTACAGTGTTTTAGGAAAAACATGTCATGTTTCCTGTAATTAACTAACTGAACTAACTTTCTTAAGTTAATCAAATTAGTTAAATAGGTCTTATATTAAGGAACAAAGGAGTATTGTATTATCTTTCATCATGTTTAATCATGGTATACATGTGCGTCAGGGAACCAAACACGTTCAAAGTATAATTTTGGAGACACAGCAAAATGTTGTTGAAGCGGATTGGGACGCTAACTGCTTTTCAAAGATGATAAATCTTAGATTGCTGGACTTGAGTAAGGTGCATCTTTCCACAGGGCTAAAGTCTCTTCCTACTGCATTGAGATTTCTCAGGTGGGATGATTATAATAAGGATCGTCTGCCTTCAATTGACGAATTATGGAATCTCCAAAGCCTTCAACTGTGCAATAGCAAAATCAAAAAACTATGGAAAGAAAATACGGTATACCTTTCTTCCTTCCATGCAACAATCTTGAATAATACTATCCCCGGTCCTAAATATAAGGCCTCGTTATTGAGAGGTGTTATACTTAGTACCGGAGGTAGTAAACACATAAATGTTATCATGCATTCACTTTGAAAATACTAACTCATTCTCATTAATGTCGTGTCTTCTTTGTCGATCAGGTCTTGAATAAGCTGAGGATCATTGATATGAGTGGTTCAGAATGTCTAAGTGAAACCCCAGATTTGAGTGGAACACCAAACCTTGAAGAGTTGTTACTTAATGGTTGCAGAAACCTGATTCGGGTTGATGAATCTGTCGGACAGCTGAAGAAGCTGGTTAGGTTGGGTTTGAAAGGGTGTAGAATGCTTGAAACTCTACCCGCTCAGTTGGAAACGGATAATCTACGAGGGCTCATTCTTAAGGGATGTTTCGCACTTGTGAAGCTGCCCGACTTTGGTCAAAATATGACAAATCTATATTTCCTTGATGTGAGCGACACTGGGATCACTCAAATTCCTTCAACCATCAGTAATTTAATAGGTCTCAAGATCTTAGACGTGTGGAATTGCAACAACCTTGAGTCCCTACCTGCTGATCTTCCTCCTCATTTAAATGTGTGTGCAAACAACTCTCCCAAGCTGAAAGACGCAATAGCTCAACTTAATCTCTGTGCACCGCTTGTACCAATGGTACTCATCTCCATCTCTTTATTTTCTCTGTTCATGTTTTCACTAGGAACATACTACCGGTTCTAATTATAAAACCTCATTTATAATTTACAAACGAGGTCTTATAATTAGAACCAGAGGTAGTACTTATTATCTTTTAAATTTTTAGTGTGAATATAATATTTTGTCTTTCATTTGTTATAGTATAGATAGTTAACTTTGTTCGTTGAAAAATATATATATTAAATAGTGATAAAGTTAGAAAAGTATTATATTTTAATAGAAAGTTAATAGTTTAAGATTTTTTTTCTTAATCTGTGTGAAGCATGCTAAACATCTATAAATAGGATTAGGGGAATATTTTTTGAAAGTCGTTATGCCGTCAATTTAATTTGTGTTCCAAAGCCAGATAACTCTAATTTGCAGCAAGGCCATTGTGAATTAATATGACTTTTTAGCTTTCGGTCTTCCTAAATATTTTTGCCGGGTCAAAACGCCGGTTGTTTCAGTGGATCAAATAGAGATCGTACATGATCTTCGGCTAATCAAAAGACTTGCTGAGATCTAAAACGTCGCCTTTTTCGCATTAGAAAAACATAACTTAGTGTTCGAATTTGTCGTTATATATTGATTTGCAATCACCCCCCCCCCCCCGCGGGGGAAATTATCATCACTTTTTTCTTCTTTTTTTTGGGTTCCAGCGCCCTGTGGATCTGCAGGGTCCCATTCACATCTTTGTTGAATTCGAAGCAGGGGCAACAACCTTAGAATGGTTTAAATGTTCGGAATACTGGTGGGGTAAGGATCCCTCATCAGGTGAATTTGCAACCATAACAGCAGACATACCTTCCAAAGTTGTTGCAGATTCTAATGAACAATGCTGGGGAATTGCTGTATGCCTTTTTCTTAAATCCAAATCTCAAGCATCGCAAAGAAGTTACATAGTTTGGAGTTTCCAAAATGGATGCCATAGCGACGATAAAACTAAAATGGATGGAAACCTGGAGCCGGACGATGATTGTGTGGTTTATGTTGGATTTTACCCTCTTGATAATAAAAAGCGTCGCGAAGCCAGCCAACTCCATTTAAGTCTTTCTATCCTAACAACCAGCACTGCTAGGGATCTCCATGATTGGGAAATAAGGGGATGTTGGTGGCGTCTGGTAAGAAAAGTTAAGTTTGATAAATGGAGGGAAGATGATGGAGCAGCATCACCTTCTGGACATGGCTCCTCTAACAGGTAATCATTAATGTTGGTAATATATCATCCATAATCAATTTCAAAGCAATACCTAACATTAGCTGTTTTTCCTTTTTCTATTGTCATTCAGTGAGAGGGGAGAAAGTGGCCATGGCGTTACCGAAAGGCGTGGAAAAAGAAAATATGAAGAAATTCTGTAAGTTTCTCCCCAAGCTTCTTCGTTTCAATCCCTACACAGCTATATACATTAGAACCTTTACTCTTTAACATAAGAGATAGTTTAAAAAGTAATTTAGTTTTAAATATATAAGATCACAATTCAGTTTGTCTCCAATATTTGTTCATTTTGCCCCAGAGTAATCCCCATTATGATTGAACATGTTAAAAAGTTTCTATCAACGAGTAATTCAAATGTATATGATTCACAAAAATATTTTAAAAAAGACAACAACTATTTATTACAAATAACTAATTTAAATTGATTTTTTTAATGTTTACAAATTAGTTATTTAGTTTGTATATTAAAGATTGAGAGTAATTAATTGTTAGCTAAAAAAATGACATTATTATTTTTTTTTGGCCAGCAAAAGAATGACATTATTTATGTAGTTAGCTCCAAATAACTTTTTTGTGACTTGAGGATGTTTGCTACTTTCTTTTCTCATTTTTTATGTGAAACTAGAAAATTTACAAAGGCCAGGGCCTGATGAATATAGGACCAAGCTCTATATTAACTAATTTCCAAAAGTTAAGGTCAAAGTTACCCTAAAGCATCTCTCGAAGAGAACACGATTTATATACCATAAAGTATGCAATTTACTTTAGGTTCCTTATTAAAGTAATGCTCATGATCTAATTAGATTGAATACAAGTAGAAGAAAGCATTATTCAATCTCAACTTAATAAACAAAAAAGAATAAAATATAGTAACCCCCCCTTCCTATGTCACTTAAATTATAGAAAATTTATTTTTGTTTGGAAAACATATATAGTCATTAGTGTTTGTAATATATCGATAATAAATTTGAATTGAAAGTAAGACCTAACATTAGCTGTTTTTTTTTATTGCTATTCAGGGAAGGGGAAGAAAGTAGCCGCAGTATCAAAAGCAAAAGGAAAAATGAAGAAAAGTCATGAAATCATTTAATAGTTACTCCCTCTGATTAAAATATGAGCTTCAAATCTTTGAAGGTATTTGATTTGTTTTATAAGCTTCAGTTTGAATTTGTATGATCCTTTAATGAATTTTCTTCTATTCTTATTCCTAATTAATTATATGTTTCGCAATTATTTTGGAAGCCTAAGACAACTTTTATTTCCATCCTTGAGAGATAAGGAAGCAGATATCTGCTCACTTTAACTGTTTCATGTAGGGTCCAGAGTTGTGTTTGAGGCAGGGCTGATGAGCAAAGGTGAAAAATAATGGGAAAATGCTTAGGTCACATTTATTATATTTATTTTTCTAATCGCACATGGTTATATGTTTTTCATTTCGTATGAGTTTATAAGTAAATGCTATTAAATACTAATATTTTAAAATATAACACATAACGATATATGACATGATTGGAAAATTTAATATATTGGATATAAAAAATTTAATATAAGTAGTGTCCAAAATAATACTACTCATGATAAGTAGTAACACATTAAGTTCCCGTGAAAAAAAAAAAATAACATCTTAGATTATTCCTTCTGTGCATAATAGATTCATTTAATTTCAGATGTTATGAAATATTATATTCATTATAAATTTTTAAACCCCAATCCACTTTTTCTCTCATATTTATATATTTTTCTAAGGCAATACTTCTAATAACAATAATTGTAACTAATATACTTAATTAGTAAAGATATTTTAAAAAAAAATAACACTTACTTATTATGAATAACTAACTTAACTTATTTTTTTAATCTCCTCAAATCGGTCAATTAATTTTTATAATTAAAACCAAAGATACTAAATGATAGAATAAATTAAGTGATACCAAGTTCTAAACTCCGAGAACTTAAAAATTATTTTTCCAAAAAAAGAGGCTCAATTATTTGTTGATCGTTTAATGCACCTGTTGTTGCCTCTTGACAAAATTTTATAGTGAAAATGACGGTAAATTATAGTTATATTCTTAATTTGAGATGTATATATTATAATTTATTTGGCGAATGAAAGAGACCGATTAGTATATTACAAATTTGTTTATTACGAAGAATTTTAATGAAATAAAAATAATAATTAGATGATGTACACGACATTATCATTTAGTTGCTGGATCCCCCTTCATCCTAGAATAAAAAAATGTTTCCCCTGCATCCTTGTGCATAGCTCCATTTGTCCGGCTGGCATCCATAAATTTTTCTCCTAATAAAAAGGAGATAGCTCAGATATTTAAGCTATTACTACCTGCGATCCTACTATTTATATATAAGAACTAATTCACTAATTTAAAAAAAATAAAAAAATAAATTAAGTTATTTATTTATAATAAATATATGTTGTCTTTCCTCAAATATCTACCATTCTTAAAAAAATTACTTTAAAAAAAATACATAAATATAAAAAACAAAATGGATTGAAACTAATATTTAAAATCAAAATAAAAATAAAAAGATCAAAAGTAATATAATAGAAGGAAAAAATGAGGTTTAGTATAGCGTCCAAAGCTTTTTCAGCAAATGAAATAAGAAAAAAAAAAAAAGTAAGAGATTTAGATGCAGTTACAGCTTTTAAGCCAGACGCCATAATTTCTGGCAAACAGAAAAAACCAGACGCCATAATATTTAATATATAAAATTAAAAAAGAACTAAAAATTAATATCAGAATTTAAAATAAAAGCTTTTCACCATATGGATTAAAAAGGAGAGAAACTGTGACATGACGCCTGCTCCCTAGAGGAAGAGTTAACATAATTGAAGTAAGAAAAATTTAATATACGAATTATAAAAAAAAAGAATTAAAATAGTTAGAAGCATTACAGAAACTCAGAGCCCACCCTATCAATATCATAGCGATAATTATTCTCATAATAGTATGACTTTAAATCAATGTCATATTTCAGGCCGAAAAAAAAAAATCCACGTCATGTATTCCGTCAGAATCATCGGATCATTGCATCAAAGAGAGAATCTCAGACGACCGTCGTGAGAAAATATTAATCCAAATTCATCATTCGGCCTCAAGACAGAGGAGAGAAGCAAACATAAAACGTTGGTACAGGTAAAACATACCAATTGCACAAAACAAAAATTGTCTCATTAATCCTAGGCAAGTCTCAGCACAGCAGAAATCATGATTTGACAATTGGGTTGAGATAAGAAAATGCTAAAATGGGTTCTAAGAAACACCGAACCAGACATAAAATAAAAACAAAGAACCAAAATCACCCCAAAAAAAAAAAATCAAAAGCACAATTCAACACATCACCCTAATCAAATAGCCACAACATATTTTCACAGTAGAACCAGGCATTCAACTCCAAACATATGCAATTGCAATACAATTGTCTGAACTAGATAGGACTGAAGTTAAGTTAGACTCTACCCTACCATAGCATGATCATAATCATAATAGTATGCCATTGCATCAGGATGGCTATATTCCATCAGAATTATTGGATTATTGCATCATTGTGAATCTCAGATGACCGTCGTGAGAAAATATAAATCCAATTTCATCCTTGGGTCTCAAGATAGATGAGAGAATTACATATTAAATAATAAAACATAATTCGTCTAATTCATCCTAGGCACGTTTGGACACACACAAAATACATAGTTTAGCTTAAAGCAAAAAATGAGGTAGAGATCAGACTGTGCTAAAATGAGTTATCGGTCACGGTTAATCAGAAACACGGACCAAATAAATTCTCATCACATCCCCACCAGCTTCATGATCATTCTCCAGGAACTAAATGATTCACAGACAATGTTGAAAATATCTTTCAAACAATCAATTCATATCAAAACCTGATGAGAAAAGCCATTGGCTGAATCATCAGAGACTTAAATACTGGTAATCATGGAATCAAAGCCATCATTTTGTTGCAGTATTCCATGTCATCACTTGATTCTCTAACAGAATCAACAGAGCCAAAGCAAAAACAAAACTACCACGTAAAAACTTTTTAAAAACAATACCATATTTCAATACATTCAATAATAGAACTGAAGCTTAAGCTTAGATTCCATGATATCATGTCATTACATCAGTATGACATTCAAAGTGAATCTCAGGCAACCTTTGAGAAATAACGTAAATTCAGATTCATGACAGTTTCCCGCCAGTGCCAGGGCAGAGAATTAATAATAAAGCTTTTCTACTAACAAAACATACCAATTGCCCAAAACAATTGGTCGAATTAATCCTTGACATGTTTTCATCATGCAAAAATCTCTTCAAGAAAAAAGAGGTAGATATAGAGATCAGAGTGTGCTAAAATGAGTCTCGGTCATGGCTAATCAGAAACACGGACCAAATACACTCTCATCACGTCTCCACCAGATTCATTGTTCACCACAAACTAAATAATTCATAACCGAATGTTAAAAATATCTCTAAAACCCTAAACTCAAATCAAATCTTAAAAGAGGAGAAATCATCAGCGGCTTAAATACCAATAATCATGGAATAAAATCCATCATTTTGTTGCAGTTTTGTTCATCATCACTTGATTCTCCCGCTGCATCATAATGAAAAGGAAGAAACAAAACCACCACCAAACAAAATAAAAAAAAGCCATGATTGAATACAATATCACAATCAAATAACCACAACATAACTTCTTAATAGAAGAGTTAAGCACAAGTTTTCAAATCAAAACATGCAACATCAACGCAGTTTTCTTAACAAATTAAAATGAAGATTAAGCTTAGACTCTACCCTGCCAAAACATAATCATACTAATAATACCATGTCAATTCATCAGTACAACATATGTTCCATCAGAATTAATGGATAATTCCATCAAATGGAATCTCAGATGATCGTTGTGAGAATGAAAATTCAGATTCATCATACGGTTCCCAGATAAAGGAGAGAATTAAATAATAAAATATTCCTATGAGGAAAATATGCCAATTGCACAAAATAATTTGTCTAATTCATCCTTGGCAAGTTTCATCAGGCAAAATAATAATAATAATAGTAGTAGTAGTAGTAGTAGTAATTCAGCTTCAAGAAGAGTAAGGTAGAGATCAGAGTATGCTAAGATGAGGAATCGATCATGATTAATCAGAAACACGGACCAAATAAATTCTCATCAAATCCCCTTCAGTTTCATCATTCTCCAGAAACTAAACGATTCACAGACAATGTTGAAAATACCTCTCAAACATTAAATTCGTATCAAAACTTGATGAGAAAAGCCACTCATCATTAGAGACGTAAATACTAGCAATCATGGAATCAAAGCCATGATTAATAGACGGATGTTGAAAATATCTCTTAGACCCAAAATTCGTATCAAAACTAGACAGCGGGAAAACCATCAGAGTCATGGAATAAGATCCATCATTTTATTGCTGTATTGTTACGTCATCACTTGATTCTCCCACCCTAGTATAAAGTGAAAACAGAGAACGAGAAGAAACACCAAACAGAACTAAGAAAGAAACTACTATAGTTAAATAGATTACCATAATCAAATAGCCACCACATATTTTCCCAATAAAGTAGCTCAAAGAAATGAAATTACAACAAAATTTTCTAAAATAGATAGAAAACAAAGTTAAGCTTAAACTCTATCCCATACTCTTCTCGTGATTATATGCCATTGCATCAGACTAAAACAAAATAACTTCAGCTCTAATAATCTGAAATTTAGATAAATAATCAATCCAATTTAACTTCTTGAATACAGAAGTTTCGGAGGATGGTGTGAACTCATATTTAGAGATTCGTGGAGGAAAGAATTAAAAGTGTTAAAAGTAAAGGATTGAACTGAAGGGGTAGAATTTAGCTGAGATCGAAAAATCAGTTATCGCACCCAGAAATAGAGAAAACCCGGAGAGAAGAGGGCAGATTTTTGTGGGGTGAAATGAAAATGGTGACCAACTTCTCAAGAAGGTCTAGAAGAGGTAGAAGAAACTAGAAACCCCACCAAATGCGAAGCACTCCTAGCGAGTTCTGTACCTACAACAGAAACTTCGATGATCAACAGATAAAGTTAAAATGGGTTATGCCTACAGGTTGTGGAATGGTTGGAAGAGGTTTCCTTCGGGATGAATGTGGGAAGTTCTAAATGGGGATCAGCGTAGGATGCAAATGGGAGTTTGATAATAAGACTGTAAGCCCGTCAAAGGGTACAGAGCAAGCTTCTAGGTTGGCTAGCGAGGTCGGGGCGGCGGAGGAGGAAAACACAGAAGAAGGAGGAGACGAACTGTGGCGGAGGCAGAGAGGAAAGATATCCATGTTATTGAAACCCTAGATGGATTGGCTCGATTTTATAACTAGGTTTTCTGTGGCGACACGGACTGTTTTCCCCTTTTTTTAATCGAGTCGGCCTCTAAACATAGGCCCAATTGTGGGCAGCGTGCGCTTTGGGCTCAATCCAAAGCAATGGGCTTGGAAAGAGACACACTCCTCTAGTCTTATTCACAAGACAGTAAAAGAAAGAAAGTCTTTACCCATCGTCCGTGGGTTCAGCTGGTGAAGGGGTGAGACATATGACCAAGTTGGTATGTGTTCGATCTCTGGGGAGTACCACTTTGTTGTGGTTCTAGTCGCGGCGCTTGGGAGGCATCCTAGCTCCTGGGTGTCTAGGTAAACGCCTGAGGGTAATTGACGACTCGTCCTGCCCAACATTGGTATGACCTAGGAGGAAGGGGGATTTCGCCTTCGCCCTACCCTTGGATCGTGGGTGAGCCCAACCCCTTTCCAAAAATTTTTGTACCAAAAAAAAAAAGTCTTTTTAGTCTTATTTATAAGTCAATTTATTAAATTTTTAGTATGAATATATTATTTTGTTCTTTATTTATATTAGTACAGATAGTTATTTCTTTTGAAATATATATATGTTAAATAAGAGTAAATTTAAAAATTTGCTATATTTTAATAGAGTTAATACTGTTTACAGTTTTTTTTATCTGTAAAGTATGTCAGAACTATTTTATAAATAAGACTAGAGGAATACTGAACTTGGACATACTGAACTTGGAAATGGAATGAGAATGAGACTGGGACATAGATGGGATTGATGAATTTAAAAAATAAAATAAAATACCTCAAGTGCTTAAATTTTTTCTTTTTGGTTTGCACAAGTCCTCATATGATCTTTTGCCAAAAAATAACAAGATAAATGTAGGAGAGAAGTTTTGTATGGTAAAGAGTGAACGTGATTAATTTTTTGTTTATTTAGTGGATATTTGAGAACACCACAAATAATCATTTTAGTACTTTAAATTATAAAACTCCTATCATGTATTTATCTTGTATATGAATTAGATTGATTTTGTTATGGATGTAAATCAAATCAAAATCAATTAGATTACATATATATATATATATATATGCGCATGTATGTAAGGAGAAGATTATGAATATGACAATTTTTTATTTTTATGTCGATAATATATAAATTTTATTGTATCATTTTATTCTAAAAAAATCTCTTTTTTTTTGTAGCAATTTAGATTTGCTTTAGTCAACATTTACATTAGCCAAAATTAACAAATTATGATTTTTTTTTTTTTTGGGGGCCAACAACAAGTCAATATTATCAAAGACAGAAACTGAGTCAAAAATAACAAAGAAAACCTATCTCAACGTAAAAAGCCAACTAACAAAAAAATAAAAGAGCTGACACAATACTAGCCAACCCCACACCTATCAAAGTTACACAAAAAAGAAACAACAGCAGTCATTGCAAAGCTTCTTCCTGCCTTAGGATCGTTCTCCAAAAGCCAAGCCAAAGTGTGTGCCAGCAATTCTATCCCCCCTACAAAATACTTCTCTTTGTCATGCTTCACAACAAATGAACTAGCAGCCTCAAAACTCCTCAGCTCAACTAAGGCAGAACAAGATAACAAAAAGGAGCAATAATGCCAAAGAAATAAGCACGCATCAAAATAACAGAAAAGTTCATGAGGACAGTTTGTAGCTTAATACTGTAATGGCTAAATCCTGATGCTTTACGAACCAAGAAAAAGGCCAGAGGGGATGGTAATCCTAAGATTTGCTTCACAAAAGAGCCCAAACCCTTTATCGTCAAAGCTGCTTCAACAATTACAGCTTTCAAACTCTCCCCTAAAGCAAGAGAAGAGGAAAATCTCTGGAAGACTACATAAACTACCATGAAATCACATAACCATCTAGAATTAAGCCAAATAATGTTCAGTCATAGCACAATCCATCTTTTACCCTCTTGTTTTAGCATAAGCTCCTCAATTGTAAACTCTGTAATACTGAAACAAACATAACTTCCTGGCGGCACCCATCTCTTATCATCTTGTACCTTACTAACAATAATTTTGGTATTCATAATCAAATTATCATTCCTATTCAAACACCAGGAGAATAATTCAGAGATAATATCCATAGCATTCATCATTCTCAAGTTAATTTCATTGATTCTAACAATATAGATAGTGTCTTTCCACAAGATCATGTCAGCCATCAAAATCTCATGCAAAATCATGTAATATAGGAATAGGCCAAACCAAATCAAAAATTAAAAACCAGCTTCAACATTACCTCACACATCCTGTTTAGATTCACCTTATTCTCCGTCATATTTCAGTTCCACCAACTTTGGTATATGCAACTTGTAAAAACAGAGAGTGATGAGACTTCTAAACCATCTATTAATCTCCATGGCCACAAGGAAAGAATCATCAGTGAGTGATTAAGGATAAGTGCAATGGATGATGATTTTGGTTCAGATTTGTCGATTATCGAAGAGGAAGATAATGAGGCAAATCGGGAAGCTCCTTCCTCCATTAGCCAAAATCGCATATCCCTGGCCTCTTGCTCATAAACAACTCTTGCAAAATTCTTCCAACTCAGATTCTCTTCATTGATTCTCAATCTCTTCTTCAAAATCATAGAACTCACCATTATCTCTAAATCCTTTTTAACTTTCGCAACTAATCTTAGCTTTAGGTACATATTCTCACCAACAAACATCTCTAACGCACTCACACAGCCGAACATCCTCTCTCTCAGCAGCTGCTAGAGAGAGGCACCGGAAACACCTCTCACTGGTGGAGAGAAAGAAGCTTACACAAGGGAAACCCCAGGAGAGGAAAAAGCCCTCACGGAGGAGGAAGACCTGATCTTATGTTCTAGAGATTCCTTTCTTGTGTCTCATTCGTTAGAAGGGGCAAAAATGTTAGGATTGTATTATTTAATTGTACTTTACTTGCTAAGGATCGGCTATGATGACTGAAAACAGAAGCGGCATTTTATGGATTTTATCTTGTGTATACTTGGTCTATTAGCTCTTCGTCGATTTTGTAATATACTTGGTCTATTACTTGCTTTATTTTCTTTCTTTGTTTTATTTTGCTTGTATGTGAGACTTGTTTCTTCTCTTGATTAAATGGAATGGAGATATTCAGGCAAAAAACAAAAAAAAAAAGTCATGCTGGATAAAATGGAAAAAAAAAACCTAAAATTACTAGTGTTACCTAAAATTACACGTGAGAATATGAGAAATAAAACCAAAAACAAAAACAAATAACAGGATCAAAACTACTTCACAGCCAAACAAATTAGATTTAATCAAGGTACAAAAAACCAGACCGGTGACTAAACCGGTCAAGACAGTGAGTCAAGGGTCACTGGTCGGATTGAAGTTCAGACCGGGATCAGACCGGTCACATAAAAATAATACAATTTAATTGGCAACATTAAAATAGAACAATCCTAATATCCCTTTGACATCTATTTGACTATTCTACTTTCAGATTTCATTCACATGGACGTTTATTCATTGGTCTGGATTTAAAAAATTGAAAAAAAAAACAAACACACACAAATTTCAAATGCCCACAGCCCATACACCAAATGTTTTAATTTCACTTACCTCAAAGATCAATTCAGATAATTAGATTTCATATCACTTATAGCTGGAAGCCTAAAATATGGAAGTAAGATCAAGAAAAGAAAAAACAGAGCACATCGAACTGAAAGAAAATAACAAACCAGACAACAAAACCACAAAAGCTGAAAACAGGTAGAAGGAGAAGGAAGAACCTCGGGCTGCAACCATGGTTCTACCATCGTAAAGAAGAAATGATGATGGGGAGTGACGAGATGCTGCCGCGACCTACGGCCTACAAATATGATCGAAGAACCAAGAACAACGACCTCTGCTTCGACCAAGATGATGTCACGTGAAGACCGGTGACCTCTGATAGTGAAGTAAACAACAGCTACAGCAAGGGTTGATTTTGGCTACGAATTTTGGAGACCGGAGATCAGACTTGCGATGACTGCGATTTTGGAGCTCTGCTGGAGACCACTGTGCCGTCAGTGATGCTAGGGAGCAAGGATTTTGAGGAGGTGATTTTGGTTTTAGGGAGGGAGGCGAGCCGCTGCACAAGCCAGAGGAGTGAGGAATCAAATTCAGGGGAGGGAAATGGGGGAATTCGACGAGAAAGGAAATTAGGAAAGGAAGAAGGATTTTTTCTTTTAATAAAAATGATGTCGTTTTGTGGATTTGGCAAACCAAAAAACAAGGAACTGGGTAACCCAGCCAACCAGGATTACCCAATTCTATACCGGTTATGACCAGTTCAACCGGTTTTTTACCGGTTCGATTGGCTCCCGGTCCAGCTACTGAACCAGACTGGACTGCAGACCGATTCACTGATTTTCCGGTCAAACTAAGCGGTCCGGTCCGGTTTTTTTTTAAGTTTAATTGCCATGAATTTTTTTTGGGTTGTACAGAAATGTTCATTAATTTCGAGTTATGCCTCGCCTACTCCCTATGGTCTTGCCTATACTTTTTAGATTTGAAAAAGAGTGTTATCCATTTTATAAGTTTTAATTTAAATTTGTCTTAATATTTACTTTTTTTTTAATGTTGTCCTAATTATTTTTCTCTTATCATATTTTCTAATACATTTTCTATTATTTTTTCTTATTTGTTATAAGCATATATTTAAAAAATATATATTTCTAACTTATTTATTGTTTTAAACCAATTTTAACTAATTATTTATTATCCATGAATTATTTATTTGAACCTTATAATAAGAATCAAAGAGAATACTTAAAAAAAAAAAATGTATGGCCATGTCGTCCTCTAGAAGATCTTTCATCTGATTTGAGAGTGATGCATTTATAACATCATTGAATTGCAGTAAAATTTATAAAGTGATTCATGGTTTCTTTATTTTTCAAGATATTGGAAAAGCTGCAAGTCTATGTAATTATATAAGTGATTCAAGGTCTCTT